TTCACTTTGGGAAAAGTAGTCAAATTCCTTGTCCCGATCTTGGCAATGAAAGTCCTCACGGGTTGTCACCCTGCCACCCGTCTTCCGTGGCTTTCCTGGCTCAGAGGGGACAGGGAAGTTTGGAGAGGCCACATGGCCAACAGTTGCCGCCGCCACCGCGATGCAAATCGACTCTGCCGTGTGTTTCAGCCTCTCGTGTTTCCACGGCAGCAGGCTGCCCGGGACGGTTGTTCCTGTGCCCCAGGCCTGCGCAGGAAAGAACCCCCACGAAGTTTTCTCAACCAGTTTTGATGTTTCTCTCTACTTATTTCTAATGGCAGTTTACAAACCCTTCAAAGCAGTTTGAGATTTTGGCCTTCCTTTTAAGCCAAAAAGCTGTAACACAAATAATAATTTTCCATTCTTGTTTTCTTTCTAGGTAAATTGTGCTCATGTAATTAATGCATTAGTAATCTGGGGGAAGTAGCTTGAACAAGTTCAAGATCTTCCGTTACAGATATCGCTGTGTTGCACCCTCCATAGCATTTATTTATATTTTTAACTATGCATTTGTGTGATTTTTTTGGTATTTCATCTAGACAGTAGGCATTATATGTTTTTTTCACCATTTGAGTCTTCAGGCCTTATTACAATGCCTAAGAATTACTAGGCCCTCAATAAATATTTGCTGAATAAAAGTGGGTGGCTGTATGTATATATGAGGTCTGTCCGGAAGGTATCCAATCATGTTCTATGAAAACTAGAGACATTTATTAAAGAAGATAGAAGATACAAGAAACATTGTATGCAGGACAATGACGCCTCAGTCCCCTTCAAAGTGGGCACCTTGGGACCTCACACAGTTCTCCCAGTCACAACAGCTGCCTCACTGTATTTTCCTGAATTTCATCAAAGGTCTGAAATCTCTTTCCTTTCAAAGGTGATTTTAGTTTTGGGAAAAGCCAGAAGTCTCAGGGCACCAAATCTGGCCTGTAGGGGGGCTGAGTCACCTGGGTGATTTAATATTTTGTGAAAAAAACTCTGCTTGAGACATGATGCATGAGCAGGTGCACTGTCGTGATGAAGCTGCCAATCACCAGGTGCCCATAGGTGGGGCCTTCTGAATCACCCCAATAATTTCTGCACAGGAATGTTCAAGCTTAATGCAAAATTGGATTAAGATTCATTGCTCTGCTCACCCAGTCATTTAGAGTGTGACGGCCACACAGCACACACGCTCACTCAGCAGTGTCCACCGCCCCACTGACCAGTATAGTGAGGTCGTCACTGTTCACGCATGTGCATTCTAGTCCACTCTCCTTGGCTGCCAGATCACAATGATGTCGGGCAAACTCTTCTCGTTATGTTAACAATGGCGGGACTTTGTGCAGACATATCTCCTATGTACGTTTGTCTGCCTGTATAAATGGGTGGATGGATGGGCAGAAAGATAAAGGAAGCAAATCAAGAAATGGATAGGCCTTTCGGATTGCTAGCACTGAAGGCTTCACAAATGACCTGGGATTTAACCTCTCAGTCCACATGTGGAAATATGGAAATATTTATCCTCTCGGTCCACATCTTTATTACAGTTTTAATCTTTGCTGTTAAGTGTGATCACAGAGATGCATCCCAAATTAGGCCTCACTGCTTTCCTCTTCAACATGTGCGGTTAAAGAAGGTGTTGCTCTGTGAAGCAACACAGCGAATTAAAAGGGGAAGTGAAAATCATTCTTAAATGAACAGAGTGCCACTTCCTGCCCAGGTTCCCCTTATGCTGTGTGTCCTTGTGTGATGAACTGTTTTGTTAGAGAGGACCTTTTACTAAAAAGTAAAATTAAGCTGCATTCATCTCTTTTGTACAGATCTGCAGTGTGTGTTAAAAGCAGCACAAACAAGCAACTACACTTTGATTTAGGGCTAAGGAGCAGATGTCGTTTACTGTTTGTTCTGCAGACTGTCTGAAAATGCAGCATGACTCAGGCAGCTGCTTTTCTTGCTCAACATCCAAACTTCTCATCATTTACCACTTTAGCGCCTAACCCACACCTGCCTGTCCCTGCCAAGTCCCTGCAGATGCCCGAGTCCCCGGCGGCTCCCAGGAGTCCCCGTTGCTGCCCCGGGGTGGCAGGACCGCGCCGCGGCCCCCTTTGGGTGCAGCTCTTCCTTTCTCCTTTTTCCAAGTCTTCTCTCAACCATGCACTTTTCCTGTCCTCTTCCAAATTTTTGCTCTGAGATTTAAGTAGCTGATCTATCAAATTAGAAAGTAAGCATTGCTTTGCTTTTTCATCTTTTGCTTTGGGGAGACGCTCCCTTAAACACAGTGCCAGGAGGGTTCCCCTTGCTCAGGCAGGTACCTCGGGACCTTCTCCTGGGTCTTGGCCAGGAACAAAGGCTGAAAAGAGGTCCAGAGGGTGTTTGTGCGTGTCAGCTTGGCGCGGTTCGGATCTTCCCACCTGACCCTTGTTGGGTGGGCTGGGGGTGGGTGCTGAACATGCCTCGGTGAGGAGCGCAGCGTGATGACCAGTTCAGGCCCCGGGGGCTGAGGATTACCTGCACCCTGCCAGGTCTCCCGGCACTCCTGTCCTCTCTCCGAGGCCCCTTTCTTCACTGGCAGTGCTGGGGGCGGGGCGGGAGGGAGAATGGAAACTGTTACTGTTTCCTTTTCCTGGGCGCACTCCCTGCTCTCCCACCCTCTCTCCTTCTCCGTATCCACCCCTTCCACCCGTCTCCCCTCCCTCTGCACACTTCGATTTTCCATCTCTGATCTGCATTCTTTATTCAATGTTTCTCTACTTCCTTGAAGTCTCAAAAGGAAAAATGCCCTTGAGAGATGAAGGTCATAAAGTCTGTCTACATCTACCGAAAGCAGTGGTTTATGTTTGTGTTATATTATGAGCAGAAGTAACCACTTGTACCACAATTAAGAGAAGGGATGTTGGGGGTGGGGAGAGGAGAAGCCACCACGTCTGGATCTGCTCTGTGCTCACAGATGTGCGGCTGCCTCCGCCACCCCTGTTCCTTAGACTGGCCAGCGTCCAGCTACGATGCCCACTGAGTGTCTTGGCCCTGCTTTCGGCCCGTGAACAAATATCTCACTCCAATTCGCCTTCTACTCCAACATGCAGGTAATAATAATGTCTCCAGAATGTGACTCATCGTCACAGCATATCCTGTGGCTCTCACTTAAACCACTGTAACCTCTTGTCAATTGACAACCTCCCAGTTATGGCTCAGACCAGACGCTTCCGGCTGCTTCTCCAGTGCCCACCCCTCTGGTCACCTCTGTGGGGACACCCAGCCTCCCCTTCTGCTGTCCCACCATGACCCCTGCTCACTCCAGCCGATTCCCGGGACCCGACCAGGACAGGTGCTGTCTGGCCACTTCAGCACCTGTGACTGGGTGCTAGGCAGGCATAGGTCTTGATTATTGTAGCAAAAGGTGTCTCGCCTGAGACTTTGAAGTGACCATCTGGGTGAATTTCCACCTCGCCCTTTCCAGCCCTTTCTCAACCCGCTGTCTCTTTAAAGCCGTGGGCGTTGGCACGGGCTGCTCTGCTGGACGGCCTCCTCCCCGGGCCCAGCTGCACCACCGCCCACGCCCACCCGGGGAGTCTCAGCCTCACTCCCTCCAAGCCCCACCTGCAGCTGTTCTCCCACAGGCCCCTCCTCCTTCACCACCTGGGGCCACCACAACCACACCAGCCTGGCCAGGTCCCTGAGCACCACACGTTCCTTCACCCCTCAGCCTCCCCCCACGGTGCCCCCCACCCCTGCCCATCAGGACACGGACACTGCGGCTGGATTCCCTCCTCAGGCCTCAGCTCCGTGTGCCCTCCCTGGACCATCCTCCCCGCCTGACGCCATTGCTCTCAAAAACACGAAGCTGTTTCTTCCTTTAAAGCACCACCTATACATTTTTATTTTACTTATTTTGGGTCCACCTGGGGAAATTAAAGCCACATCAGTTTGTTTTAACAGGCAGAGCTGAATATAGAAAATTAGCCACACAGACAGGGGCAGACCGAAAAGAGGGCAATTGGAGACCGAGGAGCCACAGGGGCAGAAGCCGACGGAAGCAGCTCTGTGTTGAGGGCTGGGACTGGAGCTCGGAGGGGCTCGTGCCCTGGAGACCTGGCTCCAGGTGCCAGGACAGGGCGCTACCCGGCTGGGCTGGCCCCTCTGGCTGGGGCGAGGAGCTGGCTGTGGGAGGCCGGAAGGAACAAGACTCTGTGAACAGTGGTGACGCTGGTCCAGTCCCATGGCGACAGCACCTGCCTGGGACAGCTGGACACAGGAACAAGTCCCCACCAGTGTCCCTCAGGCCCCCAGTCGACAGGACCCCACGTGGGTCTGCCCGTCCAAAGCGCATGTGCAGGGCGCTTGGGGGGTGTGGGGTTGGAGGTGAGATATCAGAGCCTCCTAACTGCCCGCACTTACTCTTTGTTTACTGTCTCTTCCTTGCTGTGCACAGCGCGGGAAGCAGAGGACAGACGTACTCACTACACATTCCTTGGATGGATACATTTATTAGACTTTTTAAAAGCTACTTAGCAAAGTATGCAGTTCACGCCTCGTCAACTGAGCGATAATGACGCCTCGGACCATGGTCCAGGCCTTGGGGCTCCCAGGAGAATGCAGGCAGTTCCTTACTATTTAGCAGGGGATTTAAGGCATTCTCATAAAATGTACTGAAATAGTAAAATGCTATAGCCAACAGACATATGTTTAAGTACTGGTACAGTGGAACAGGCAGCAAAATCTACAGGAGATCAGAAAAGACCGAGGGCCGCGGCCTAGACTGAGCCCCACCCCCTGCCGCCGGTGCGGTTTCGGGGTGACTCGGAGGAAGGCAGAGACGTGGCATCAGCCATCGGGAAAGTAAGTCGAAACCAACAGGAAAACCTTGAGTTCTGCGGATCGAATTAAGAGTGTCGTGTCATTTGCGAAAGAAAGTTTCTGGCGAAGGACTGCAGTGGCGGCCGAGTGTTCCCTGAAGACGCGGGAAGCCTCGTGGGGCCGGATGGCCCCTGAGCCAGGAGACGCGGGCGCGGAGGGGGGCGGCAGAGGCAGGCAGCGCGCCAGGGAGAGTCCACGCAGCACCGCACAGCGCTCACGCGGGGCGAGGGGCCCGCGGCTGGAGGAGGCCTGGCCCTCGGCCGGGAGTCAGGTATATGACTAATCCGGGAGGATGTATATGTCCTCATCCTGAGCGGCCTCGGGGGAAACGGGCCTCTGGAAGTTGTAATAGGGCGACGCCTCGTTCCTGCAGACGTGCTCCGACGAGATGGCCGGCCGCGTGTTCTCGTACAGCCCCTGGTCGGCTTCCTCCGCTCTGGGGGGACCCACTTCCAAGTTCTCGTAGTCCTCACAGGGGTCAGCCTCTCTTGCGGCAGGTCTGCGGCCTTGGGCTCCCCCCGGGGCCTTGCACTTTGAGCGGAGGGCGTGGGGGCGCAGGGACAGGGTTTTGGAAGAGTCCCTCCCCCTGCTGCCGCTCCTTCGCAGACACGTCGGGAGGGGGAGCTGGGCCGCGTCCCGGCGCTTCCAGCACCAGAAGCCCCCGAGCCCGCAGACCGCCAGCAGTAACAGGAGCGTGACTCCCACGGACACAGACACGGACACGGAGCTGCCTCCACAGCCCTTCAGCATCTCTGTGCACACCGTGCTGTTCGCCAGGGTGCCGCCGCGCCCAAGGAGCTCGCAGGTACAGTTGGAGGTCATGACTCCCGCTGCGGCGCGTCCCCCGAAAGAGCCCTGGGAGCCCCGCTGCGCATCGCCTTCTCAGCTCCGACGGGACATCGCGGCCGAGCCCCGCTGCGGTCGGAGCGGGGGCGGGGAGGCGAGGTCGGCGAAGAGGGTCCCCTCAGTGGCCGTTTGCTTCTTTATAAACAGGGGGGTTTAAATCCACTCCGCTTTTTTTGCTGAATTATAAAATAAAGTTGATATGAATGGAGGATAATAGCGGAATAGAAAACTCCAGAAGAGGAAGATTGAATAATCTGCCATCAAGGAACCTGCTACAAATTTAAAATGTAGTAATTGCATATTTATGGTATTAGCATAATAAAAATCTGCCCCTTTCTACCAACACATTAGGCACCAGCCCCTGGTCTGCTTCCAGGACACGGCCGGCTACAGGTTTCTGTGAGGACAGAGATTTGAAAGAGCCCATCCCCGCCCGAACCCGAGCGGTTCCAGCACTTTAAAAATGTTCGAGTGAAGGACGATGCTTTGAACACAGTAGGAGGAAGGCACACGAGCGTTTCCGGGACTACCCGGCTCTGCACGGCCTGTGCCCGGCGGGGCGCCGTCTCCTGCTTAGTCCGCCTTCCTCCGGGCGCCCACATCAGTGAGAGTGTCTGCACCACAGCATGACACCCGCGTTACCGGACGCTGTCATCCTACCTGGTCGAAGGGGGGCAGAGACCAGCTCTGCTCAGATCTGTGTTCCCAGACACCAGCACACCACCTGGTGCGGAGAAGCAGCCGTATTTACTGGGCGAATAATTAAACAAACGAACGACTCCAAATCCTATCGTAGAATTGCTTAAGTTGATCATTTAAAACTCAAGATATGTCTTCTAAAGGGTATAGTTTATACTTAAAGGAAGACAGGAGTTTTGTGACATAAAACAAAATATCTTTTTGAAGCTTCCCTATCAAAGCTTCCAGCCAACACCTTTCATTCAATTAAGATAATTTTAGAGTTTTCTCCAAGGTTGTAAAATGGCAAAGAGAGAAGCAGAACACATTCAACTAGACTGAATGTTCTATTTTGATTTTATCAACAAAATAGTGCTGCCTGTTTTCTGCTTACATGCAGAAACAGTTGTTACAGCCAATAGTTGTTTTGTTAGTTTTATTCATATAACTGACATATAACATTGTGTAAGTTTAATGTGCAATGTGATCTGATATATGCAATGATTGCTATGTTAAGTTTAGTTAACATCCATCACCTCACGTAGTTACCATTTTTTTCCTGGGATGAGAAATTTTAAGATCTTCACTTAGCAACTTTCAAATGATCAATATTGTCAACAGCATTGTGAATTGCGCTTGTGAAAGGGTTTTCACCTATCGAGTGTCAGCAGAGGTCATGTCTAGTTCAGACCTTACTTGGGGTCACCTTCAAAGCGCCTTCCCGTGGTGGGTGGATCTCAGCTACCACCCGGAGCAGATGCCTCCCTACCCCCCTACCTTAGAGATGAGAAAAGCCAAGACCAAAGAGGTTCAGGAACTTCTTGAACAACTAAGAAGACATCAAATCAAGACTCAACTAAAACTTGCCCCCGGATGTTATTCTCACCCCCATTTCTGCCCAGGGCTGTTGAGCACACCTGTCACTGAATTCGTGTGGCTCGTTTAGCTGTGAGGCCCTGGGGGGCTGGGGGTCTCATCTACACTATCTGTATGTCACCAGCCCTGGACACAGAATAGCTGGTTTCTTACGTGTCTGTTAACGAGTGAGCAACCTGCCTTATGGTGGCAGTAACGACGACAAACAGGGGAAAGACAACACCCACAAAGTCGGGCCCCGCGTTCAGAGAGCATTGCTGTCTGAGAATGACTTGTCCAAGTTCGTTCGTGGCTGGAATACATCAACATGCAAACCGTCAAGCTGACATTACAGGTGAAATGCCAAACCGAACAGGAGATGCAGTCAATTTATAGTTTATCTAGTAAAACTTCGGGATGGAGGTCTTACATTGAAACATGTTTCCCTCTCTCTGAACAGCCAGACATGAGGCTTGTGCTCAAGGTCAGTGGTTTGGCAATGACTCTGACCACTAGAGACACATTTCCTTTCTGAAACCAGAGAGCCAGTTGTAGTTGATATATTTTATGGTAATTTTTAGTTCAAATTTGCCAGCATATTTGAACTCAATTTCAAATTGATTGAAATTTCATGGCTTTGGCAAAGATGCCAGGCCAGCAGCCGACACGGGGAGGCCAGCTGCTGTCCCTGTGGAGGAAGTAGTGAGGTGCTCTCTCAGTCCCCAAGGGCAGGACTCGATTTACCATCTACGTTGCTCTATGTAGAAGAAACATTCCAGTACGTTCTAAGCATTAAAATTGTTTGTCAAAGAACTGCTCACTCAAAGAAGACTTTTTATAAGAAAATAAATGCACCCTATCATTTCTTCAAACTCACTCAATTGGAAAAACCCTGCCACACATAAACAAAGACCTAGTAGAATAAAAAGCAGATGTTAAACCAAAGCCTTTCGAATATAGTTTAACACCTAGATAAGCTTCACTCCCCCTACTTTGGAACAAGACTTTTTGGTTTTGTTTTGGAAAATGGTGACCTAACAGTCATTCATTTGTCTTAAAATTACATATGACTGATACATTTCTGGAATCTTTAAAGTCAGACTCCGCCCTTCTGTTCGAGAACAAGACGAGCATCGTCTTCCCCGGTGAGCAAACGCACACGAAGAAATGCCGTCTCCCTCCTCTTGTACATTGCCCCCCACCGCCTGAGGCTACCCAAACTCTGTTTGATTAGATAAAAAAGTCACTGATTATTAGAAATGAACCTGTTTCTTAAAGCTTCCATCCGCCACACGCAGGTCCGGTCCTTGCTCACCTGGGGCGTGGGGTGCAGGGGTGCTCGCCTGGTCCCGGCACGTTTTCAACCGGCGTCGGTTTGGAGCCTGTTCCTCTTTTCACGTCTGTGGATTTCTCCCTTTGCACCTCCTCCTCTCAGATTATTTCACACTTGCAAAGCTTCCTGGCTCTAGAGGAAGTCATCAGATGCAGCAGAAGTAAGACAAGCGACCTGAGCGTTTAAATAAGCAAGTCCAGTCCTTCACCTCCACCAAGAAATAATTCTCACTCTTCCAGAAAATGGCGCATGAAGCCTAGACAGTTTTTTTTTAATCTAAGCAACATTTGCAGCCCCCACTTTAGAACCAACCTACGTCACTTCACTGGCACCTCGCTTTTTGGAAAGGAAGGTTTCCAAGTGCAGTCGAACGCAGGCCTTGCGTGTTTACGTGCTTGCGGGTCCAAAGGCTGGAGCAGTTCTTGTTGCCAGCGCGGCTCCCAGTGCCCGGGGACCCGGCCTCGTCCAGCCAGTGACCCGAGTGGGGTTCAGAAAACGTCCGTATTCTCTGAAATCGATGATAAGGACCCCCCAGAGCACACTTCGGGTCGCACTGTCCGGGCTTTTCTGGTGGGTCTCTCCTCGGGTGAACCTGGGCAACACCACCTGAGTGGCGACCTCGGGGGCCCGCGGGCACTCAGCCCTCTGCAGGACACGTGTGGTCCCTGGTCCCCAGCCCTCCGAGGCAGGACGAGGCAGAGCTCTACTAGGAAGAAAACTCCCTTCGGCCTGTTCACTGACAGCAACCCGCACCCGCTGAGCGCTCCCGAGCCCTCGGGCCTGCCTCCAACTGTCCTCACCCCGTAAATCCCGGCCACCTGATAAGCCCGCGGGCTGCCGCCACCGTCAGGCCAGGAGACCTGACTGCTGTGAACCGTCCCTCCTGCACCCGCAGCCTTGGCACTTGGGCTGCTTCGAGAGGGTGGAGGACACGTTTCCGCCCCGAAACCCTCACTCACCAGCGCGTCTCGTGTCTCGGAGACAGCTCTGCGGAGCGCAGACGTGGGGAGCGGCGGAGCAGGCAGCCGGAGGAGAAAGTTGTGGGCACCCCGCCGTTTGTACCTACCGGCGCTTCTGCAACGACGGAGTGCGAACAAGGTGGGTGAGGAGAAGGCTCGGGGCCGGGTCCTCAGTACAGACCCAGCTGGACACCGTGGGGCCAGGCGCAGCGGTGAGGACGCGGCATCTGCTGCGAGGGCTGCGTGTCCACAGCCCCGCTCCGGGCAGAGACGATGGAGGATGAGAAACACGGGGCGCGGTGAGACCGGGGGCCGGGGACCCAGCCCAGGGCGGCCTCACCGAGAAACACGGGCGGCGCCCCTGGGAAGGGGGTACCCCGGTGGAGGCCCTGGAGCGTGCAAGGGTCCGGCTCGGCGTCTCTCCACCGCCCCGCGAGGCCTGCACGCAGCGACCAGCGCAGCGTTTGCGTGGAAGGACCCATCTGCCCCCACGAGAGGACGGCCGGTGCCTAGCCAGGTTCCCCTTGGGAACTGGGGCCTTTACTTCACCCCTTTTTACTTCAGACTTCCTCCAGATACACCAAGTGGACGGATAGTGTCCGGCCCTTTTTTCTAGATAGAAATTTCTTTTTAAAGAAATGGAATCATTCTTTGAGTTTGTAGAACAAGCGCTGTGCGTATTCAAAACAGAGTGACAGTATGATGCCCGCTGTGGGTCAGGCATTAAGAACTCTGCGTTGTCCGGGAAAGCCACGTGGTTACTGTGGTCTTGCTCTGTGGGCTTCTCAGTCCCTGCTCCGGGGCCGGGCTCCTGTCCTGTTTTCCGTGCGGTTGGGGTGGACGGCGGGGGGGGGGGGGGGGGGGCAGGAGGGGACTTCCGGTCTGCAGAAGTTGGGCCTGAGCACTTTATATCCAAATAACCTTCCTCTCCTATTCACTGATGAACAACCTCTTTATTTAATTGAGATTTAAATTCTTAGCAATTCTTTTGTGACACTTAATACGTTTATCTCAACATTTTTTTCCAGATACTTGAACTGAGTAACATGGACCCAAATCTGTGTATGTGGATTTTCCTTGATAGCTTGTCCGACCAGAAGCCTCTTCCTGGTTGTCCCCCACGGCACCCCGAAGTCCATGCTGGTTGTCGAGGGCAGTATGGAAACTGGCATTTTAGCATAAGGCAGTGTGTTACCTGGGAAAGGTGATACATTTACTAGCTAGCAAATTCATGAATACTTACTGGTTTGCAGGATGAACCAAAAAGCAACAAGGGCTTTAATGGAATGAGTCACTGGGCCAAGGAATTAGGAAAACTTTAAATGAGGAAATGGAGCAGCTGAAGGACAGGAGAGAAGGCACGAACAAGAAGAGGTCAAATTAAAGCCACGGTCACAGTGGTTGATGGTAGGGCTGGTCCTGTCGGCAGCAAACTTAAACCCTGTAATGTTGAGGGGGTGGGGGATGGATTTTACTGAAAGGGATCTCAGGCGGTATTTACTCAAGGGTCCATTCCCAACCCTGAAAGTCTATCAAAACCACTTACGAAGCCTTTCGTTGTTGTCGTTAAAAAACAATCAGCCTGGCTGGTTTGGCTCAATGGATTGAGTGCCGGATTGTGAACCAAAGTGTTGCTGGCTCAATTCCTACCTAGTCAGGGTACATGCCTGGGTTATGGGCCGGGTCCCCAGTAGAGGGCGCTCGAGAGGCAACCACACATTGATGTTTCTCTCCCTCTCTCCGTCACTTCCCCTCTCTAAAAATAAATAAAATCTTTAAAGAAATACAAATTCCTAGGACCCTGGGAATTCTGCTGCATTAAGTCTGAAGTGGGGCCCAGGAATCTTTATTTTAGAATTAAACACGACCAGGGAATTTCTGAGCGAGAGGAATGGAAGAGCATACTGATGGAGGGGAGGGGGATTTTTACTTTCCACTCTCCACTCTTTTCTATTATTTGATCTTTTCCACTCATGCGCACCACTTTTAAAATAAAAACAAACACTGAGAGCCCCCAGCTGATGTTGGTCGGCGGCCAGGTTTGAAGCAGACCTGCCATCAGAGAAGTGCTGTGGAGTTCCGCCGCCGAGGTGTGAAGTCTGGCCGAGGAAGTGGCCCGACACCAGGCCCACTGCACCGCTGCGGGCGGCCACAGCACCTCCCTGAGGATGAGGACGAGCACGGGTGGGAGGAGAGGCCTGTGGGTCCCCTTCAGGAGCTGCTCTCTCAGCATTAAGTCGGAATGCAGACCCCAGGAAGTTAGGGGAAAGGAGACAGAAGGGGGAAGGAGAGAGAAGAGCAAAGCCCAACAGAGGCGCTGCAGGGAGCCGAGTGGGAAGGATCTGACCTCCTGGTGCACCGCGTTCAGCTGTGAAGTCTGCCCCCGCAACACCTGTCTGGCCTGAGGAGGGAGGATCGTCAGGGTGCACGTGACAGCTTAGGAAGTTAGACCGCCATGCAGGGCACTAGAGAAAGACACTAAAAGGAGAACAGAGTAAAAAGACCCAGGAATCCACTCCTAGCATGAAGGCCATTTCTGTCTATAAATGACCAGTGTGTAACATCCCAAAGCTCCGGGACCGTCCCAAAGAGCCCCCAGCAAGAGTGGGGGAAGGCGGCTCCGCCCATCCACACAGTGGGACACTCACTTCACAGCAGCGAAGAATCCAAGCTACAGACATGCACGAACATGCGATGGCCTCACAAATGTAACATGGACTTGAAGAACCTACACACAGAAAGTACCTGTTGTGTGATTCCTTTCCCCAAAGCAGGCGAAGCCTCTCTGAGGACACAGGTGGCAGAGGTCAGTACATGGCGTGACCGCACTGTGGCCACAAAATGGATCTCCTCGTAACCATCCTTCGAGCAGCCTGTTTGAGGTTTGTGTGCTCTGTGTACATTGTATCTTAACTTAAAAAACTTGGAGCTGAAGTCTAAGATGGTAACTTTAAATGTGGTGGAAAGTTAAGATAATTACATGTATGCTTTTGATTCACTTAGATTACCATCTTCTTTGGGATGCTGACCTACCAGTTCGAGGAGGAATTCTTTGCTTTGCTGAAATGTAGGTGGACTTTGACCTGGACGAATCTGAACTTTATCCAGAGCTTCTTAAGCCCGGAGGTCGGTGAGGCTGGTGGTAGGACTGAAGGGCGTCACTGTTAAATCCTCAGTCTCATCGCTGTCCAGGCAGGACTTCCTGCTGCCTGAACCGCAGCCTTTCACGGCTCACCTTGACTCCGTAACAGACGTGTTGCTGAGAAATCCTGTTGGGCCTAAAAACACCTGGGTATAAAGCAATCCTGCCTGCAGGAAATAAGTCTGGCATCTCGGGCAAGTGACACAGCTTCTTGGTCCCACTTTCTTCACTCACGGACTACAGTGCGCTGGGGCGTTGCCTGAGGTTCCCTAGAGTCCTGCCGAGTATAAACGGTCACCACATGCAGGGAGGACGTTTTGAAGTGCCTTTGTGTTCAGTACACACTTCCCTTTAGTGAAGCTCCCTTTTTAAATAATCGAAAGTCTTTCCTAATTGTCATGCAGATCAGGTAACATAACTGGAAGCTTGCTTCCATTTCAGTTGAAGGACGCTCTCTCCTTCCCCCCGTTCCTGTCTTCAGAATTGAGAAAGTGGACATTGAAAAACTGAGAATCATTCAACACAAAACATTTTATTTCTTCAGGAATAAAACTGACAGCTGCATACTTTAGCGTTCCTGTAGCAGAACACCTTAGACGCTGAACACAATTTCACAAGTCAGAGAATAGATAAACTGCTTCCACAGGTGTTTTGTTTCCATCGTTCCCTTGAGGAGGAGAGTCCCTTAAACTAGGATGAGTAACAGACCCCAAACCGGTTGTTGCCGGACTCTCCAACCTCTGCGGTCGGTCCGGAGGGGCAGGCACACCACACGGGGTCAGCGGCTGCAGCAGGCTGCGTAGGCGGCAGTGAGACCATTTCAAACCTGTGGGGCCTGAAGCCCGGGCCGGGGGCAGGGGCCCTTCCCAGAGGAAAGTGCTACTTGAAACCCTTTGCTCCGTCTGACACTCTGAGTGGCCTCGGTTATGCACCGAGTGATTCTGAGTGAGATTTTC